TTTTTTTTTTTTTTTTTTTTTTTTTTTTTTTGCGCTAGGTCGGACATACCCTGTCCAGTCCGACGTCCGACCAGACGTCCGGTCGGACATCCCAGACGGTCAGGGGGGTCCCGGATGTCCGGCCCGGTAACCTAGTATTTTAACTATTTTCAATGCAGACGAGACATGTGCGCATATATCTCATGACGGATCAAACCATGATCATTCAAGGTTTAATATTGTTCTACCCTGCGTAGCACGGTGAACGTGTTCGCACCCCTTCATGTTCGCGCGAACAGCTCGCGAACATGTTCGGGCGAACTTAATTTTTTTTCGTAAAAAAAGAAAAGAAAAAAAAAATCCGGTTTTTGATTTTTAACTCATGATTGGCTACGAATTTGAACATGAGTCCAAGGCAAAAGTTGCTTGTATTGTTATTTTACATAACATATATTGTGTTCAGAGTTTGTTTAGAACCTTTTTTTTTTTTTTTTTTTTTTTTTTTATGTTCGCGTTCGTAGGGTCTTGGGCGCTTGTTCGCATTCGGGCGAACATTTTCACGTTCGCCTCCGAACGCGAACAAGGTGCTACGTAGGTTCTGCCGTTGTAAATTTGCACTATCATTCCCTAACTCATACTAACTAAGAATCACAAGTTATACTACTACTATGCGCGCTGATGTTCTTGCATTCTCATTCCCTTGCGAGCATGATAACATGCCAGAGATGGGGCATAGCAGATGAGGGTTTCCTAGGAGGACAGAGGAGGGCAGGGCTATGAGGTGCGGAACATGCGGTGTCCGGGGGGGCGGGGTAGGCGGATGGGTGTTTATACATAGTACGGGGGAATGGGGTTTACAGGGCAAAGTTAAGAACACTGGGTTTACAACGTTTAGTGGGATAGGTTGTATGTCATGTATAGTTGGGGAGAGCAAGTATATCGTTCGATAAGCAGTGCAGATGCCTGTGATTTGTCTGTAGCAGCCGGGTTGGGGTGGGTGGGGGGTGGGGGGTGGGGGAGTAAGTCGACAATAAGTTTAGTGCAACACATCCTTGATTAGATTCAGGAGAAAAACCGTTAGTTGAGTTTGCGTAGTCCTGCCAGTAGGGGAGTCGACCCCTACATAGCGACGGGATCAGAGATCCGGGTGTGTGTGGGGGGGGGTTTGTGTACGTAACACATCTATCCCACAGAATGTGGGAAATATGACTTAACTCAAGATCGTCCATTAGCATGTTGTTAGATAGCAATTTAGCTATGAAGGAAGTATGTTGCAAAGGTAGACAGGGTGTGAAGGTAGGGGTCTTAGGTTATTGCAGGAGCAATGATTAAGACGTTAATGTTAGTGTGTTAGCAATTAGGAAAGGGCAAGCCCAGCCGTAGGGGGGGTGCACGCCCTGAAGCACGCTTTTCTCCGCTTAACACCCATAGCAGCTCATCAGAGGGATTAGTCGTTACCAAGGCTCGAATTAGCACAAAGGGTGGTAGGGAGCTGTAGTCAGGGGGTCGTGGGAATACACAACATGGGCGATTAGGGGTAAGGGTACAGAGGATCAGTACCCGAGGTTTCATGTCTGGAAAAGCGGCATAGTCAGTTGCTGCCGTAGTTGCCACAACTGTCGAGCTTCGGCGTCACGATGAATAAGGAGCTCCGATGGTCGAAGCACAGATTGGCCGGCCCAAGAAGGTGCCTTGCGCGCTGCAGACAGATGGTTAGCTCGCCTGGTTGCGTAGTATGAAGGGGATAATGAGAGGCAGTTGGGAGAAGATATTCGGATGAGGAAGTTTTTCGCATGCGTAGCAAGTATGAGTCGGAATGCTCCGTAGCGTCGGTGTAGTCATAGGCAAGCTGTTGTGGACAGTAATGCAGGCAGGCTTGATTATATCTTGTTATGTGAGGTTTGTAATGGGTATGGTGGCGTTCGTGTGTATAGGATAGCTTAATCGTTATTGGGGTTTTTTAAATTATTTTAATTAAAAAGTGAGGTCGTTGAAAGGTGATATTCATTCTGGTTTGGTAAAACGGGGCGTATTTGGTAGGTTTTAGGTGTCTCTGTAGGTGTACGGGTTATGCTTATGTTTATTTGGTTGTAGTACAATTTACGGGACCAGGCCGTAGGTGGGGTGATTATAGTTTTGAACTTTAGTGGTAGTGGCATTTGTTTTGCTTTGTAGTTCCCGTGTAATGTTATTGTCTTCTTCTTTCGCGCCGATCAACTTCAGAGCTCGGTGGTGTTCAGTATTTTGGATGGGTTACAGTATAATTAGTTGTTTAAAGAAAGTGACATATTTCTTTTGTCGAGTTTTTTTGTCCTGGTTTTCAACTGCCAATCTTCATGGGGATGCTTCACGAGTTTTTGTTTTTTTGTGTCTTTCCTTGGGGGGTGCTGATTTGCCGTTTCATTTTTTGCTATCGTATTTGTTTCCTTTTCTTCATTTTCGTGTCTATACATGTGTTCGGGTTATTATTATTATTCATGTCCCTTAGTTTTTCTTGAAAGAAATGTTTGCCATATTTTCATATTTTATTATGTTATTAGTTTATTATTTTATTATTATTCTATTATTTTATTATTATTAAAAAAAAAAAAATTATTATTACTATTTATTTATTTTAATTTTTAATTTCTAATTTGTTATTAAGCTTTATTATTATTTTATTTTATTATTTTATTATTTTTTATGATTTTATGATTTTATTATTTTATTATTATTATCTTATCCAGGGTTGCAGGCATTCGGGACGGGCCGAACGCCCGCACCCAAGCGCCCGAACGTACGGGGCCCCTTTGGAAGGCGTTCGGCCGTTC